CTGCTCCAAAATGCAGTCGCCGCCCCGCTACGCTACGCTACGCTACGCCCTGCCTATGGGGGGCTGGGCTGCCAAAGGCGGGCAAAAGGCGTCCAATCACAGCAGTGGCCACGGCTAAAGCCACGGCTCCCCAATGAGAACGAGTTCCTCCGCATTCCTGCTGCTGCCGCCGCTGCCGCCGCTTCCTCCTTGTGGCTCCTGCTGCCCAGCTGCCTGCGCGGCCCCGGCCTGCCCTAGCGTACCCTCCTAGCGGGTCCTTCCTTGGGCCCCGCGGCTCGAGTATGCCCTAGCTGCTTGCCTGCCCTTGGAATACGCGTTTTATTTTGGGGACATTCCTGGAATAACCTGGAAAACTTGGTTGGGTTTCGATCCAGTTGGACTGCTACGAGTTATTTTCGTGGATTTCCCTAGAGCAATCTTGAGCTTAAATGCACCTGAGTTTGGTCAGTAACATCTGAAAAAATGCACTTTTTAGCAATAAATTTTCAAAAAAACTACCCCCCCCCTCTCTCCCGCGCGGAAAAAGGCGAAGCTCTAAGTACCGTATCTATTCTATATTGGAGCCGTCTAGATCCTGCGGGGCGGGGCGGGGGGATGACAATGGGGAAGCTCCACTTCCGGCGCCGCTCCGTCCAAATGAATGGGATTGAGGGCTCGTCTGGGTGTGATTAATCCACCCATCGATGAGGATCGGATGAGCGGCCGGGAGAAAGAGAGACGGTGAGAGGGAGAGAGATATAGAGAAGGACGTTGAGAGGGAGAGAGAGAGAAACACCCAGCCCAACGGGTGATCACCGGGCGCAAGTTCATAATTTCACCAGACAGCTTGGCTCTGCCGGCTCGCCGCCTTTATCAAAGGCGGCGTCAGAGGCGCAGTCGCAGGTTCGCCCCTTGCGCCGCACGGCGTTGCCTTTGGCAGCGAAAGGCCTTTGAGCTCGCGGCGCGAGTTGCATCCTCCTCCCCGCTCTCCTCCCCCCTCCGTGTCCTCTCGACGCCCGCGAGCAATTTCTCATAGCCGGTGATAGTAGGCCGACGTGACAGGCCGCGACACCCAACCACCCCTACGGCCAGTGTGTCGGCGGCGCACACCTGTTCTCTGTCTGTCTGTCTGTCTGTCTGTCTGTCTGTCTGTCTGTCTGTCTGTCTGTCTGTCTGTCTG